AAACTTGATGGTGAAATAAGGACTTAATATCACAAAAAGGAAAAAAGCAACAGTATTATCACTTTTTAAATTATACTATATATAGACCCTCTCTGGCACAGCAAAACAAATAGAATAGGGATGGGAAAAGAAGAAACAAAACTTTTATTAATATTTTGTCAATAACAGGATTATTCATAGAGAAAAATTTCCATTGTAACTAGCAAGAGAATCCAAAGGTTCTAAATACATTCATAATATTAAAAAATGGGACCCAAGATACTAATAACAAATAGGTAATTTTTTAAAAATGCCATTAATCAAATGGAGTTCACATTACCTGTACTCTCCTATCACCAAGCTAATCTCATCAAAATTCTAAAATGTGCTGGCTTTTTCGCCATGAGGTAGGACAGACCACACTCCCATCCTAGGAAGGAATTGTTCAGCTGGTTACCCCTCTCAAAAGGAGTATCACTGTAATGTCCCAGCTACTTTTTAAAGATAAAACTGACATCCTACATGAACAACAAAAGAGCCAGCCTACTTGAATGTTTATGTACTATAATCTGCCGCGACCCCTCGCCAGCAAGGAGGACACGACACAGGATTCTTCTTTCAGCAGTTTATTCAGGCCTTTACTTATGTGTCTCTGGAAGCTTCTTCTTCTCTAACCCACACCCCCCAGCCTAATAAAGCATACCAAGCCCCAATGCAAAGCCGTCACGTGGACCTTTCTCATAGGGTGTTTTATAGCTACGTGCCATCTCTCCCAAAATAAGGAGTTGTTTATCACAGGCCATGGCGCTTATCAGCGCCATCTTGTAATGACGACCATGGTCCCCTGACACGGCTCACCACAATAATCAACATTAGCCTGACCAATAGTGGTCACTGAACAATCCACTAAAAATGGTAATAATTGTCAAGTACTGCTAAGATATTAACTATTGCTTTTCTTTTTTCAATCAATTTTTTTTAATTTTTATTTTTTTTTAGTTTTCAGCGGACACAACATCTTTGTTGGTATGTGGTGCTGAGGATCGAACCCGGGCCGCATGCATGCCAGGCGAGCGCGCTACCGCTTGAGCCACATCCCCAGCCCTAACTATCGCTTTTCTAAGAAGAAAAGTATCCCTTTTCTTTATTCTTTGGTATCTACAAACAGCATCAAGGCTAATGGTTTTCACTTAGTCCTCTTTACATTGCTGCCCTTATTCATCTTCTCCTCTATTTCTTTATAGTCTAGAGCTAAGATTCATTTTATTACTGCCCTTCCCCTATGTCTATTTCTGAGAAGTCTAGCTGTCCCTCATTCTGCTACGGCCTCACATGGCCAGGTCATGGCCCCAGGTATTCTGCTGAAGAGGTCCCAGCTAAAGGCCAAAGGCTTACAATGGCCAGCAAGGCCCTACCTGGTGGGCACCCACACCCCACTTACTTCCCAATGGCACCTTCTATTCACTCGCCTGCTCCAGGCTCCCTGGCCTCTTTGGGCTTCTCAAACAAGACCTTCAACCTCTTGTTTAAGACCATTAAACCTTTATTTTCCTTTGTCTAAAAATTTTCACCCCCTACATCCTAAGGCCAACTCTCTTACTCCTGGCAAGGCTTTGCCCAGACACTCTCAGTGAAGCTCCCTGACCCCTAACCAAGCTTTTTAAAATTTCCACCACCCACACCCATCCCTTTTACCTAACTCTATTTGTTCTTTCCCCATAGCACTCTTTGACTTCTATTTTACTTGTTTACTATGCTTATTGTTTATTTTCTGGTCTCTCTCCTCTATTATGTAAGCTCACAAGGGCTGGGCCTTGGTCTGTTGTTTATAGATGTATCCCCTAGAACAATTCCTGCCTCAGGGAATATTTGTTGTTTAATGACTATGAAAGTCAGGGCTTGGTTAGTTTTATGTTGATCCAAGTGACAGACTGAAGACCTCAGAAAGCCTT